CCGGCTCTCCACGTAAGACTTGTAAAGGGAATGTTCTCCCTGCCAGCACCTACTAACCTAACCCAACCCAACCCAACCCATCACTCACAGCACAAAGGCTCCCACCCACTGCAGGGACGCGTACCCTGAATTGGAGGGTCAGGTCACACTGGAGCGAAAAACTTATAATAAAAGTCCGTATCATTCCTCTTCCGGCTAAACGATCTGAAATCGGCGAAGAATTAAAAGGATACGATTCTTATTCTATTCAATACAGGGGACGTCGAGTGGACAAATGCAGAGAGACTTTGTGCTCGAATCACTGAACTCACAGCGTCGTGACGCCCTGCTCGATCCATATTTTATCACGGATTCTACGAAGACCTGTGAGGGACATGGGGCTTCTCGGAATAATACGCGTAAAAAATATTCCTCTGGCAATGTAAAGGGATCGCGAAGAATCGCCCTGATGACGGAAGCATCAAGGACCTCCGAAACGTCGATAAACTTCTACCAGACTAGGCGGTGCTACGACCCAGATGACGGCAGCCATGTTCAAGGAACAAAAGTACACAATGCTGTGGCAGGTTCGCAGCCGAAATGTCATGATTTAATCACAGAAGACGACGATTCGTATGGAGAATTACTTGGTGGTTCCTCAGTCTGGTTAACCGAACACGCAAAGTCAGCAACAAAGAAGAAGCTGCTTAAGTTCGGGAGGCGGCGGATTCGAACCTAAGTGATGACTGTCGATGATTTCCTGCTTTCGTCTTACAATACATTATTTTATACTGTGATGCTGTTTCAGTGCTTGGCTGTATCTGACCTGGAATGGCTGTTGCCACGCACATGAATAAATTCAACTGACCGAATCATCACTGTCTATAAAATGAGTAAGACCTGTAAGTGAGACGTTCGATCTTTCTAAAAGAGGCTCCTCCATCCAGTCGCTCCAATGAAGCGCCTGCAAAATCTGGTTTAGATTACTTGCACAACACAGGAGCCGGAGAATCGCATGATCGCGGCGTTCTCTTGTGGCCAAGTGAAACTCTCGTTTCGCACTTGGAACCGCCAGTTCCGTGGCCGACAGACAGAACCTCTCTCCTGTGTTCTGTGCTTAAACTTTATCTAGCGACGCTTTATTAACGGCACACGCTACGTAGCTAGGAGCAGAGAGAGAGAGAGAGAGAGAGAAAAAAAATAAGAGGGCATGGATTATGGAAGCGATACGATCCATCGACTCAATCAGTCCCTTCACACGCGTGTTGTCTTCACTGACACAACGTCATCAAGCCATAACAGCTCGCCGATGTGCGAATTAATTTGAGGCGTTATGTAATCCACTAATTCGTATGCAGGCATAAACAGAAAACAGAGGGATATTTTACCGAAACATGTTCGTAAGGATTTACCAATAAGGTGCCGAATACGAAGATAACTAATGGCTAATGGCGAAGTTGTCCTTGCTGGCGACCACTTTGCACCGAGTTTTATCAAACTCGGGACGCTTTTCAGGTACTTTATTGTATTCTCGCCCTGGCGCCAAGATTCTGCATCCA